AAAAGATGGGAGTTACCTTACGAAGTAAGGGGGGTCAGTGCTAACGAGGCTAATTCAGACAGAGTGGATGTAGCCTATTTCCAACAGTAGACAAGAAGGGGTGAATATCAACAGAGGGAAAATTACTTTTTGTAGTGACCCAGCTGCTCCCAGTCTTTATTCGGGCCTAATTTGATGGTGTCAAGTTTGCAAATTAATTCCAGGTTTGCAGTTTCTCGTTGAAGTCTGTTTTTGAAGTTTTTTTGTTGAAGAATGGCCACTTTTAAGTCTGTTATTGAGTGTCCAGGGCAGGGCTGCCCAGAGGCGGGGGCAAGTGGGGCAATTTGCCCTAGGCCCCGAGCCCCGCAAGGGCCCCCACGAGAATATAGTATTCTATAGTATTGCAACTTTTTTTTATGGAAGGAGCCCCTGAAATTGCTTTGCCCCAGGCCCCCTGAATCCTCTGGGTGGCCCTGGTCCAGGGAGATTAAAGTGCTCTCCTACTGGTTTTTGAATGTTACCAGGGCTTTGGAGCTGTGCTCTGGCTCCGCTCCAGCTCCAGCTCCAGGCAAAAACCTGCAGCTCCACTGCTCCGGAGCTGCTCTGCGCTCCAGCTCCAGGCTCCGCTCCAAAGCCCTGAATGTTACAATTGTTGATGTCTGATTTGTGTCCATTTATTCTTTTGTGTAGAGATTGTCCAGTTTGGCCAATGTACATGGCAGAGGGGCATTGCTGGCACATGATGACATATGTCACATTGGTAGATGTGCAGGTGAACGAGCCCCTGATGGTGTGGCTGATGTGGTTAGGTCCTATGATGGTGTCTCTTGAATAGATATGCAGACAGAGTTGGCAACGGGGTTTGTTGCAGGGATTGGTTCCTGGATTAGTGTTTTCGTTGTGTGGTGTGTAGTTGCTGGTGAGTATTTGCTTCAGGTTGGGCGGCTGTCTATAAGCAAGGACTGGCCTGTCTCCCAAGGTCTGTGAAAGTGAGGGATCGTCCTTCAGGATAGATTGTAGATCCTCGATGATATGCTGGAGAGGTTTTAGTTGGGTGTAGGTGACGGCTAGTGGCGTTCTGTTACTTTCTTTGCTGGGCCTGTCCAAATCTTTCAGAAATCCTGCCAAACCTGAGAAAGCTTTCCCCCAATAACTGAAATAAGATTCACAGCATCGAACACCATTTTGTGCTTCCTTTAAAGCCCTAGACAGGGCTTCCAAAGAGAATAGCCAGAGATTCCATGAAGTCTGCTAGGGAATTAAAGATTTGCTGTTGTGGAAGGTACTCAGCTGGTGATGGCTGGCAATACAAAACCTTAAGATAGCTAGATAGATTAGCTAAAACTATAAAAGAAAGGAGAAAAGGGCAGAACAAAAATATAACTGAATCTGTCATGATGGCAAAATGTTGCTATGTATCAATATTGCTATGTTCAGTGGAACTACAGTGTGAAACATCCCTTGTTCTGAAGTGCAAACTTCCTGAAAAATCATGAATATTACCCTGAAAATGGTTATTTTGTATTAAAGCCGAAACAGTTGAGGTGCGTACATTCACAAATATAGATAAATAGATTGTACTCTTCAATATTTCTAACATTAGAAGTACAGTATTCAGCAGTGTTTATACCAAAATGCATAAATCTAGAATAGAAATATTAACAAGACTTAATCTTGAACCCCAATTAGTGCCAAACTCTGCCTCCAGATCCATGCCTTTTACCCTAAGTGAAGTGAACGGGATTTGTGCATGCACACCTGCAGTGGTGGCAATTCAGATGTTTCTTGGGGAGGTCAAATTCCAGTCCCCTCCCAGCCAGGACCCTATTTCTGTCCTATTTTATCCCCTCCCCCTCCTCCCAGAGGAACACTGGGTCTCCCTCAGCCAGGGAATCTCTCCTCTCTCTTACCCATAGTGCATGAGCTGGTGCTGCCAGGAGTCGAGTTCTCAGGGGACTCCTCTGTGCCCCACTGTACAGGAGCAGACTCCCTGTGTGCCAGGTCACAATGCTATTCACTGATTTGGCCCAGCCACCCCTCCGTCTGTATGGAGGGGAAGATGAGTCAAATTTCACTGGCATTGTGACCACAGAGCTAGTCATGATTTTCAAGGTTTTCTCTGCAACCAGAAGACCTAAAATTTACTTTTTTTCCCCCCTCAAATGAAAGCTGAGAGTCTAATCTAGCCACATGCCTCCAGGAACTTTAAGAAAAACACCAAATATCATGAGACTTGTGATAATATCACAAGAGTTGGCAACTGTAGAGACACACACCCCCTGTGCCAATGTGCTTTCTTATGGAGACTTCACTTTTGTTCTTTCTTGATTTTGTTTTCCTTAGTCTACTCTAAAATAACAGTTATTTAAATTGAAAATACAGGTTGCTCTATATGTCTGGAAAAAACATAACAACCAGAGTAAAGAACTCAAGCTGCATTAAATTGATCAGATTCGTTATATAAGACCTGCTTCCAATATCACTGAAGTCAGCTAAGTTTGTTCGCTGACTTTTATAGGCTTTGTATTGGGGGCCACATTTACAAAAATATTTAGGGACTTATGATGCAGACGGATATCTAGCTGGAGTTAAATGCCTAACTTGTTCAGGGCCTTTAGTAAATACCACTAGGTGCACTTATATGCATCTTTAAGTACCTAAATACCTTGGTAAATCTTGCCCCAGGCCCATAAAGTAGGTCAGTTTCACCAATTTTAGATAAGCAATCTTCTCTGGTTACATGTATCAGGAGTGGGTCTAGATCTTGAAAATCATCCATTAAGGATGTTTATTTGCTAAAAGAGAAAAAAAGTATTATCAAATTTCTAAGCAGACCTAGTAGAATAATTCATTGTAAATATTTGTTATGAATTATAGTCTGTTTTCTATTTACAAACACATTTGTATAACTCAACCCACGCTGCAGACGGCTAAATAGTATTCATTGCAATTTTTTTATCTTCATTGAATAATTTGAAAATACACAAGCTCTACTTCCAAGTAGCTGAAGTCTAATTGCTTAGCTACATCCACACCAAATAAACAGAAGAAAAAATCCAAGTCAAGTGTTTCATGTGCAAGTATGTTTAAAAACTCTATAATCTATGACAAACGTTTCATATTAAAAGGACATTCCCACAGGCAATGAAATAATGAAGCCCTTAGTATCAGGCATTCCAGGCATGAAGATGATAGCTATTTCAACATTTTATTTACTCTCAAAGGAGAATAATAAATTCTGAAAGCAATATGTGTATATTTATGACAAACTGAGGGCCCAGTCATGCAACTCAATCCTGAAAGCATAAGTGTGTTCCATTGAAATCATTGGGGCTGGATCTGGTTTCAGGACTTCATGTACTTTATAAATTGCTTCCTACCAGTCTATGACCAGAATCCTGCAAAGATTTATGCACGTGCCTAATTTTATACATTTGAGTAGTCTCATTGACTTCAGTGGGATTACTCCTATGTGTAAAATTACTCATGTGCATGAGTGTTTGCAGGACCAGGGCCTAAATCAGAAATTTGTGCTCCAATACCATGGTGATGGATATAGTATGAAAACCTAGGTGGATGGATGGTTACACAGTCAGATACAGTACTGGATAGGTCTATACTCCAGGTTTGTCTCTTATGGAAAAGTCCTATAGAATTTAATAGAGAATTGAGAATTCTTAAGCTATAGAATTTTATAATGCTCTACGAAATTCTAGAAGATGATTTAAAATAGGGTTCTATAGAAATCACCCCAAACCCTATAGAATCTAATAGGATGAGATCCTTTCTATAGAATGTTTAAACCATCCTATAGAATGCTGGAGCAGGGATACAATTCTCTATTAATACAGCCTATAGGATGTCTTAAACATTCAATAGAAAGTAGATCATTCATTATTAAATCCCATAGGGTTTTAGAATAATTTCGACAGACCCCTATTACATTTCTCTAGAACCCGACTTCATTTCATCCCTAGTTATAATCCTAATAGGGCTTCCTCCGTAAAAAAAAGTCGACTTCTGTGCTTGCTCTGTTTAAAACGTGTTTGGAGAAGAAGAAGAAGCTATTAAACGCTTAGGGTGAATTACAAACTGGTTTTCCCCTAAATCTGCCTGAGCTTGTGACAATAGAGAATGAGATGAGCCTTTGGCTACAAAATCCACCTCTAGTTGGAGGCTGATATAAACATGTCGTTCAATGTACCAGTGGCTCCTGCGACTAGGGGAAGGGGGGTGGGGTATTCAGCGCAGCCCACGCCCCTCTCACTCCATTGGGTCACCAGCAAGGGCTGCACGACCCCCCCGCCTCCAGAGTCCAGCCCCGGCTCTGCGCTCCGCATTCCCCTCGCTCCGGGGCGCGTCCCGCTCGCTGCCTTTGGAGAAGTTTTGCTCCAGCTCCACGTGTGGCAGCAGCTGGAGGCGAGAGGGGCGGTGACAGCAGCCCCGGAGCGCTCCCCAGCCCCCCTAGGCAGGTCTCGTCAGCCCAGGTGGCAAGAGAGCGGAGCCAGAGGCTGCAGCCGGAGGAGGGAGGCGAAGCCGGGAGCCTGGAGCGGCTCTGTCCCGTTGGTTCGCAGCGATTCTCCCTGCCGGGGGTGCGCAGGGGGTGGTGGGGCTGTGGCGAGCAGCGGCTTCAGTCGTGCAGACTGTGACCCCCCCCCCACTGCCAGGAGACTGGCCGGGCGGGGGCCGGCGATCGGTAGGACCGGGACCTGAGCTCAGGGACTCCGTCAGCGACTCGCCCTTGGCTGGGAGACGGGATCTGTTCGCGTCGGGGCTTCCCCTCCTGCGGGGCTCGGCAGGAGCCGCCTGCGGATGATGCCCCCCTGAAGCATCACCCTTAAGAGACCCGGGGGTGAGGGGGGACACAACCCGAGCCCCCTCCCAGCTCCAGGGCAGTGACAATGCGGCCCGGGGCAGCCCTGCGCCCCCCCGCGCGCTGCTGACTCCGGGGGCGGGGGGCATGGCACCTGGCTGGGGGGCCGCCTAGCATGGCCAGGGGGCCGGGCAGATGCCTCGGGCTAGCATGGCAGGGAACGGGCCGCCTGCCCCCGCCGCCTGCCCCGAGCCTCTGCCCCGCAGCGTCTTCAAGAAGTTCCTGCTTATGCTCATGTCCCTGCTCATGTCCCTCTACGTCTTCTACTGCCTGGCCGAGCGCTGCCCCAGCTTGCCCGGGCCCCTGCTGGCGGCCGCCCCGGAGCAGGCGGCGGGCGGCGGCGGGCGGCTGGAGCCGGGGTCCCCCTCGCTGGCCAGCTGCCCGCCGGCGGCCCGGAGGAAGCGGCCGAAGCAGCAGCGGCGGCGGCCCGACGTGCCCGGCCGAGGCGCGGGGTCGGGCGGCGGCGGGGAGCCCCCGGGCACGCTGGCCCTGCTGCTGGGCGAGGGCAGCAAGCGGCTGCCGCAGGCCATCATCGTGGGCGTGAAGAAGGGCGGCACGCGGGCGCTGCTGGAGTTCCTGCGGGTGCACCCCGACGTGCGGGCCGCGGGGGCCGAGCCCCACTTCTTCGACCGCGGCTACGAGCGGGGCTTCGGCTGGTACAGGTACGGGACGGGGGGCGAGAGCCGCTGCCCCCGCGGCTCGTCCGGGGCTGGGAGGGGGAGTTACAGAGGTTTCCTGCTCCCGCCCTGATCGCCAAAGACCCCCCCATAGCTCTGATCCCCAAAGACTGCTCAGAGCCCCCAGCCCTGATCCCCAAAGACCCCTCAGAGCCCTTAGCCCCAAACAAACTCCAGCCCTAATCCCCAAAGACCCCCCCCTAGCCCTGATCCCTGACCCTCAAAGGCCCCCATAGCCCCTCCCAGCCCTGATCCCCATAGCCCCTCCCAGCCCTTGATCCCCATAGCCCCATCCTCAGACCCCCATAGCCCTGATCCAAGACACCCCCTCACCCTGATCCCTATAGCCCTCTCCAGCCCCCCAGCCCTGATCCCCAGACACCTGTAGCCCACCAGCCCTGATCCTTGAAGACTCCCTATAATTCCCACTCCAGCCCTGATCCGCAAAGACACTCCTCAGCCCCATAGTGTTCCTTCCAGCCCTGATTCCCAAAGCCCTTCCCAGCCCTGATCCTCAAAGTTTCCTCCGCCTGTCCAACCTCCATACCCTTCCCCACATCCCTTCTGCCAGGATCAGGTCATGGAACATGATCAGCAATGTCTCATTTGTCCACAGTTGCATCAGTGAAGGGGAAACGGGGTGGAGGAGAGAAGAGGGGAACAGCACTCATCCTAACCCCGTCAGCGCAGGGGGAGCCCAGCGTGTGGGGAGGCCACAGCAAAAGTCATTTTATAAGGAGGGTTCCTCTCAGGGACAATCAGCTCTTGAAATGGGCTCCAAAGTTTTCAACCACCTGTAGCATGTGATTCATTTAGTGACTGGCTTGTTTTCTTCCTAAGGTTTCTTTAGTGATTAAAACAAACAAAAAAGCAATAGGCATTCATACCCCCTCCTTCTTATTAAGGAAGGGAAGTACCATGTCAGGATGTTTAGGAATTGTTGGGTGTTTTTAAGGTATATTTTGAAGGCTAAGGGCAAGTCTACACTACAAAACTAAGTTGACCTAAGTTATGTCCAGGTACAGCCACTGCAGTAATTGAATCAGTTTTACATGTCCACACTACGCTCCCTGTGTCGTCAGTGTGTGTCCTCACCAGGAGCTCTTGCCCCAATTTAACTGCCAGAGTGGGGCATTGTGGGACAGTTTCTGAAAGGCAGCAGCAGTCTACATTGACACTGTGTTGACCTAATTACATCAACATAAATGCTAAGCCCCTCGCAGAGGTGGAGTTATTAAGTTGGTATAGTGGGTGAGTTACATCAGAGAGAGCTACATTTTAGTGTAGATGCTTACAGGGTTAGGTTGATGTAAGCTGCCTTATGTTGACCTAGCTCTGTAGTGTAGACCAGGCCTAAGTCGATGACAAACTATATTTTGAAAGTCTGGCTCAAGGCTATCAGTTGTGTTTTTCTGCTGTGATGATCTAAAAGATTTAACTCACCATTGATTTTTTGTGTGTTTGTAACTTCCATGTACTTAACTTCACACACACGATGGGATTGCTCAAATGTGTAAAATTGAGCAAGTTTACAGGATCAGGGCCTAAACCACTATTTTCAGTGGAAATTTGGCTGATAATTTTAGACACCATCCTGATACGAACATTTCTTTAGATGATCTTAAAAAAACAAGACTTGTTGCAAGAAAACTGAACTTTTTGTTTTTAAAAAACGTCTCGTGGGAAAACTAAACTGCTTGTGGATGAAAGTAGATGAACACTTAGCAATACACTTCAGAGCCCTGCTTTTGTTCGATTTTTGCTTTTTGTAAACTGCCTGGCTCATCTTTCTTTTTAAGAAGGAAAAATATCATGTGGAGGAAAGCCTCAGAATTCCCTTAAATTTGCTGTTGTATTTGTAAAATCAGGTAGTAATCCCTGTGAAAATGAGATAAGATTGTATTTTAAAGTAAGCAGCTGACTGTGTGGAAATAAATATGTTATCAGGTATTACAAAATCAAGCAAATAAACAACCTCTAAGAATCTAGTCTTTAAAATATATTTCCTCCATTTAAGTATGAGGAAAGTTATAATTTTGGACAATCTGATAATAAAAATGTCAGTGGTAGTAATTATCCATAAATAGCCATGAACAAAGTCAGGAAAGAAAGCAAATGTTGTTAAGGTGTCTTTGTTTTATGTTTTTTTTAAAGTAATTAATTTTTCATTTGCAGGAAAAGAAAGTAAGTGTGAGCTCTTGACAATGTGAAAACAGAAATTAAAGCCATAGGGCAATACTCCTAGTGTTATTAGTTAGATTTTTTTTCCTGATGTGTCGTAGTAATTTAAAGTTAATAAAGTTGTGTCCTCTGGCAAGTTCATATGAAAACGACTTGTTGGATCTAAGAATAGGTTGTCCTCCTTTTGCACAATAGAAATATTGAGTTTTTGCATCCGGCAAACAAGCAAAAAAGAAGGCACTTGAAGTCACTCTAAAACTTGTAACTAATTGTCATTTAACTCTTACTGATGTTTTAGTGGAGGGTGGTATTTGGTTAAGATTGTGATGACTATACTGAAATCAGCAGTATCATCATACAGAAAGTCAGAGTCTAGCCCGAGCGTTTGTGCAATATATTTTTGCAAAGGGAAGAGACCACTGTGCTTCCATATATTGCACTGGATAGAATGCACCTTATTTTCTCAGATTGCAGGGTGTGTGTTTTTTTTCTGAGAATAAAGATTTCCTCTTGGGAGGGCTGAAGCTGCCTACAGAATGATATTTTTAGTGTGTGCTTATCCAATTTTCCATGCACTGACCCTATATCGGAAAGGAAATATTAAAAACAAATCTGAAAACCTCAAGAACTTTAATCAACTCTTGACTTTGAAAAATAAACACATGGCTTTGGGAGAGGGTCTGCCATTATTTATGGTTGGTAATTCAGGAAATCTGTTCCTTTGACAATGGATTCCTTGATTCGTTGCAGAGGAGATGGCACTGTGGGTTGGCCCAATCCTGGAAATCTTGCCTGAGCAAGGAATACAGAATCAGACCATGTGTCAGTGACATACATTATTGCACGATATATATATATAAGTGTCTGGGGTTTAATTTTCAAAGAGTTTGGGCTTGATCTTGCCCATCTGAGTAGTTCCCCTTCAGGCTCTTCATGTAATCACAGTGTTTTACCATTTGATACTGGAGTGTTTACATTAATTGCTTTAGTTTGTTTGCTGTTTGGTGTGTTGAGTTTCACTGTTTTGCTATTAGCTCTGTGGAGATTGAAGTACAGTGAGTTCTTTGTATGGGGCTATTCATTACTAGGGACCCAATCCTGCAACTGTTACTCATGGGAGTAATCCTTACTAACATGTGCAGTTCCAGATATGTCAGAGCTGCAGGATCAGAAAGTCGGTAATCAGTTAAATGGCTCTGTTTAAAAACATTATTTAAAAAAATCTTTACATGCGTTTGTCATGATCTTTGAGTAGAACTGAATACTGGGAATATCGCCAGATGTTTGCTAGTATCTCTTGATTGCTTGTCTTTGGAATCACCATCTTAGGTTTCAGATTTATTTTTATTTTCAAGCAGGCAGACTAAACAGCATCATTACAGGATATAAACATTTTAGTTCACTTTCGGTGGCCTTAGGGAATCTCCATGGGCACTGAATGCTTTATCTAAAAAGTAACAAAAAGGACCAGGATCTTTACACTGAAATGGAAAAGCCGTTAGATGCTAATATTCATAGATGTTTATTGACAGCAGCAGCTAAATAGCAGACTTAAGGGAAGAGAGGGGATCAGTGGATTTTACATGTTTTATGAAGTTGATGTGTTTGGATTCTTGAGAGATCATTCAAATTAGATTGTATATTGTCACAACAGTGCCCCTCACAGGCTGAGAAGAGAGAAGCAATGTTGACCACAGAGGAGATAAAGGGAGAACATCTATTTGGAATAAAAGACGAGCTTTAGTAGCTGTTGCATGTTATTGTGAGATCCTTTTAATAGGGACGTAAGTGTTTGGAGAGGCCGATACCAGAAGTACAGCAAGATCAGATTATTTTTTTAACCGATGAATTAAATTGTAATGCCTGTAGGATAGCAGACTCCTAAGGCAAATAACTTGTAGCAGAGCTCTGTGCTAATAAGTGAAAGTCTCAACACCTACTGTGGTTCCAGACAATAAATGAAACCGATCTAAAATGCTGTATGTTAAATCAAGTGGAATAATCACCTCTCCTCTTAGACTGCATTGCGTCTGTTTAAAAGGCAGCTCGCCTACAGTGAGGTTTATTTAAAAACAATCTCTGTGATTGTATTTGGTTGGTGTGACACCTACATGTGCATTTGCATGTGGTTTGAATATCAAGGGAAGTTCAGTGCCTACAACAGCTTTCTCCATTTCAGTTTTGCGAGTACTTAGTTCATAAGGGAAGGAAGGAGGGGAAACAGCCCACAATGGTCTCATTGACTTTAAAACACAGAAATCTCTGCTCTGGTCCTGAACAAGTCTATTGAGTTGACAGAGTTCAATAGCAGGTGAACCTGTGTATTAATAGAGCTGAGCTACCATCTCCTCTACCCAGCACATGACTGTATACAGCCTGGGGAAAACTTAGTCTATGGGGATAATGCAATCGAGTAAGAAATGTCTGAAAGAAAAATACGTGTTTGTTGATGGTATTGTGAGCCTCGCTGTTTCTCTCTGATCCTTTGTTAGCTGTGCACCGATTCAGTCGCCCGTCGGAATGTCATTATGCTGTCAGTCACACAGGGAACGTTTATTTCATATGTTTTAATCTCCCTGCCTTTGTAATGCTGCTGCCACTTGCACTAGAGAAAAGCTGAGCTAATGTCATTAGGCTACAGCGTTCTGCAAGAGATGAAAGATTACTCAAGGTTTCTCTGTCAGGCTGGGAGTTTCCACCCTGATGCCTCTAGACCTAGGAAGTTCCATGTCCTTGTATCAATATCCTCTTGGTTTTTTTCAAGGCAACCAGTAATGCTTGAGGGTCAAAGTGAGCCGGGAGTT